AAAAGCATTTTCTTCGGTTCCATTCCAAGTAAAAGGGAAAAGAAGGCTAGTTCATACGCGTAAGGAAATGTATATTTCACATATGATTATTCATTATTTCTTTTGGCTTACTTCTCCGAAATAGCTCTACCTCTAAAAAATCATTATCGTAGAAGGAAACGGTGTGGGATTTACATTTGCATCATAATAATAGATTAGAGACTTGCTTTTTGTTTTTTTCGTGTCTTTTATGAACAGAGGTTCCTAGTCGCCTCTGAACCGCACTGACGTTGGACGCAATGCGACCAAAAAGGCTTTCTGTGATTTACGACAAAACAACGCCTGCAGTCCATTATTAAAATTTCATTAATTTTTAATTAATGAGTGACAAAACCCAATTCAGTAACATAAAACTATGAAGTCACAATGAAATAATGAAGTTAACAATGAAGAAATATAATAAAATAATGAACTGTCTTTTAATCATTTTTCAAAACTCTTATATTCCGAGTAAAAGGTTTGATTCAAATCTATCGTTTCTGAAGATAGGCTGTCTCTAAACTCATTTGATCCCCTCTTCCACAGAAGAAGTGAAATGTACTACAAGCGAAGAAAACCAACAACATTCAGCATGGGAAATAATATGGCTCCGCGATTTGTCGCAGACACAAAAAGAGAACATGGTACAATACATTGTTCTTCGCACTACCATTAGCTATTGAACGCCGATCGCGATAGGATCCATAGAAAGGAGAGTGTCGTGCCTTTGCCAAGAGATATTTCAACAAGGAGACCCAGATAATGGTTATGTTAGAATTCATGCTGCTTATAGGCAAGCGAGTTCATTCTTCTCATTTGAGGTGAACGAGTTATTGTTACTAGCTGTCAAAATGGCTATTATCGAAAACAGGTTTGCTGTTATACTCTGTCTTTGCTGACGTTCGTAGGGAAGCAAACAAAAATAAAAGATCAGTTCGCAGGCGTATTGCAGTCGGTGTGATTGGATTGTCAGTATTTTTCCAATATCTTTTTTTCTTTGCTTTTTTGCTTTGCTTTGATTACTTTGCTTTTAATTTATGAAAATAAAAATCTAAGCCCCCCAGGTATATTCTGTGTACAGTTCGGATGGAAATACTTATATGCTAAAATACATAAATCAATTTCCAATAGAAAAAACTGTTAACAGATATGAAATCATCAGAAAACATACCATACAAATAACTTTTTCGTTTCCACTTGACAGACAAAAAATTGGATATTGTTTTCTAGAGCTATAAATTAAGGAAACCAGTCAAAACCGTTCAAAAGGGAACATTATCGAAAGTGTTGAAACGCAAGATATCATTAAAACCCTTTCACCGGACCATAATGGATTCTTAAGCGGGACCACTCGCATCCAGATTCGATTTCCGGAGTCTGATTGCAGCTTAAATTCTGCACGTGAACGGAATTCCATAGAAATCCTCTCATCCCAGGACAGAAAGTATTCGAGCAGGCTATAAGAAAGAAGAGTGTATGGCACTCTTGATTAACATATTATTGAATTAATACCGATACCAACACAATTAATACCCATGAACGCTTGAATGAGTTAACATCGTTTAATGTTGTTAACTATCATTTATCGCGAACTGATGTAACTGTAAAGCTCACGGCGAATTAATTCAATGGACCCGAGTTTGTCTCGTCAGAAACAAAACCATTGCCCCTCAGATGGCTGATAGACAGCGTGCTAGCTTTGTGTGACTCGGTCCCGGGTTTGATTCCCGGCTGGGACAAAAATGAAGCTATAGCTTTCTAATACACATCGTCTACGTTTCTACAGATGTAAGACAAAAGATAGCTCAGGCAGAAGTGATGTGACATCGAAAAAAAAGCATCGATGTTAACAAACATCGATGTTCAAATTAATTGTGTGCTTAAATAATTGAAAAGGAGGTTTAAAAATATAAGAACAATAGCAAAACTAAGCCTGAGCGCCCAGGGTCATCGTGAAGGGTCAGTTCTCAGGACCCTAAAAAAGGGTACGGGAAGAGGGGAAGGCTTTACAACTGTGTCGTGTGCTTTGATAGTCTCTGCACATGTGAAATAAGAAGAATGGCGGAAATAGCGGTGCGCTAGGATAATCTCGGCTGAGAAATAGTCACTTTGATGAAGGTACTACGGAGTTCGTTAGGTCCGAACAAAAGACCTGACAGAGATGGTGCCATCAGCTATTGTTTCATGTTTTAACTTTTACAATTGAGATAATGGAAATTCTTGTTATCAAGCAAAACATGAAAATGTGAAAACAACGAGCACAAAACACCGCTGTTAAAAAATGGATTCAACATATCGTTGTGCAAAACATCGATGTTTCTATGTAAATCTGGAAATTATGAATACATCGACATCAAAGTTCTATCACAATCAGTCAGACCAAATAAGATAGGTACGGTGATGGAAATACGCCAGGCTCACCACATATATATTTTTATTGACTGGCTCCTTCCACTTTCAGTCTTCCGTGCTCTTTGGGCACTCGCGTTTCCCATTGCGTGAAATGGCGTCCTCCTAGCTGTCTCCAGCACATTGTCAAATTGTTATTTTTAGTGCGTTCCACGTAGCTTGGGTAGTAATTTTCTTATGTCATTTTTCTCTCATTACTTTTACATAAAAATATATTTCTTATATGTTTGTCCTTCCACGCTTTGGTGCTCTTATATATTTCCTTTTTCATTATTATAGACCCACTAAAGATGGGAAAAGTTTGAATTTAGGGAACTGTTTTTTTAATAAATATTAAAACTTTGAGTTGTTCGATTATTTCTTAATTTACATCGTGGAGTATCACAAAATATCTGATACCACCACTAAATTTAATGCATATAGCTTTTGGTCTTCCATTATTATGCAATGGTGACACATCACATTTAAAAAAAATGCCAATGTTGAATGCAGCCCAGTGTTGAATAACAACAGTGATTTTTCGACCTGCTTCTGCCACCGAAAGCAAGCGTTTCTCATTGCCTTGGCAAACTCCACGCGCCTTTGTCTCTCGTCTAAGGTGTGTTCAGAACGCGCTCCCCACTTCTCGGCGCTTTTGTCGCGTTTGGGAATGGAGGGGCCGGCGTGATTCATTTACAGCTCGGTGTTACCCAGCTCGGCAGAGGGGCGCGGCGGGGCCTCGAACCACGTTCCGGGAATCCCGCTGCATCGCGGCCGTCACAATGTGCCCGAGCTCCGCCTTGGCTCGGGAATCCGGCCTTTTGGAAGGCGGCTTCGCCCGGAAATGCCGGAAAATTATGGACTACTTTCCCCATTCTTCAGAAATCGAATGGAATTGTGCTTTGATTAATGAAATAATCTGATATAGACGTTTGTGCAATATTCCAATTGTAATATATTGCACCGCTTGTGGAATATTCCACCTGTCATGCATGTCTATAAATGACATATTTAAGAAGAATTTTACAGTACGTGTGTCTCTCTTCAGCCATTACACAATAATAATTGTGTATTACGCTTATAACAGGTATTATTTGTAGCACGACACAAAGGAATTTAGAAACGGACATGTCGAAAACTACTGTGGGGTATTATTCTCATACCTTCTACGGTTTCTCGTGATATTTATTAAACCAACATTTAAAAATTCGACATATTTATGTTATCAAATGACTTTACGGGATTACCGAATACCTTGTGGTACTGCAATATACATCTCACCACGATCCCAATTTATGATTTCAGCTTGGTCACGACTATCCAATAACTATACACGAAAACTCACACGGCCGAGCTGAACCAAGCCGACTAACAAGAACAGAATGCTTTTGTTTTCGTTGGTTCAGGAGATTGGGAAAGTTGACATGCGGAAGAATAAAATGAAAATTTCCTAAGGATAAATTCCGTCTTCCTTAATTTAAAGAAGATTAAGAAAAAAAATATATTTCTCAAAGTAAGAGTCAACAATTGACACAATGAATACTAAAATTAAATATTTACGTGTGTAGTGAGTAGTAGAGGTACGTATTGAAGACCCTGAAAGGCCTATTTCGAAAAAAAAAGAAAATACATAAATAAAAATATAGTGGACAAACAACAGACGTGTGGTTACGTCGTGATATTACAATTTTGCGAATGTTTTAAAACTCGACAGAGTTAAATTTATTTCGAACAAATAATTAGAATTGCAAATGAACTTAAAAATATGAAAAGAAATTGAAATTATATAAAGTTCGCGCACGTACAAAATGAACTTGAATTCAAGTTATCTAGACATATGTTGTTAAATTTATACTAAAGTATCATTCAAAGACAAAATATAATAATTAACTTTTTCTTTTCCTACAAATACAGGTAAATCATGTAAATGTGTATTAATATTCCCAGAAGTAAGCTAACGCTATTTCCGAGAATTATGCACTAGAAAATTCAGTAGCGTCATCTCCAAATATACTTCAATACATACAAGCCTATTCATTTCTTGGTAGACAGTAGCTCATCTACGGGCAGCTTATCACAGGAAAGCGCAGAAAATAACTGCGGCTGTGACGGACGAGAGACTTCCTTGTGCGCAGGAAGTGGCGCGCATCGCACGGCACCGGCCGCCCGCGCCGCGCCATGAGAAGTGCGACTGAGCAGTTGCGACGGCATCCGTCAGACATCTCACAGCGTAATATCATTGATATGGAACGTCCATGGGATCTACTTCACACTTAAGGGGAAACTGCACCAGAGTTGAACTAATGTCCTTTTGGAAATGGCGTCTTGAAAGCTGAGTGTATGACGAATCAAGTACGCACATATTGAGGGAGAAAAATGAACGTTTATTTGATTGTTTGTGGCTTATTTTGTATTTTCTGATTTGTTTATTTATTAACACTGTTTGTTGTAATGCCGGCTCGGAGCCAGCATTGCTGCTGTTTCAGCAGTATCTCTGACTGCAAAGTGCTAGGATTTGCGTTCCGATTTTCCTCACTAGCTAGACAGCCCCCGGACCTTAGTTCCTCGGCGGCACTCACGTCGTAGTGCCAAGGTAGGTGAGCTGAAAATTCGGTGTTAAGCTCATGGTTACCTGTCAGCTGGGCCCCTATCCCCAACCTTTAGAGCAGGATTGGTGGCAAGGGGGCGCAGTGAGAAGATGGGTAGTGGGCCCCAAATGGCCGCGCCTCAGCCAGGCATTTGGTTTCGTCGTGGCTGTGCCCGATGCTCGTGGGTAAGGTTCATTCCGGCGCACTGCCAGAGGCGCTTACTTGGACTCCGATGCTAGCTGTGACAGCTAGTAGCCCAGAGCTAGCAGGTTGGTCATAGAAATAATTGGGAAAGCGCTGTGGGATGCTGTGTTCCGGTGTATACGAATGCTACCCCAAAGGTGGGGGGATAAGGGTCAAAGAGCATAGGGCTCTCCCTTGAAGAGTAAAATCCTCCTGGTAATAAAAACATGTGTGGATTAGATCACGTTAGGGTATCCACTAGCTAGATAGGTAAGATGAATTCACCCGCTGCCTGGAGGAGAATTCCAGCTCTGAATACTCTCTGCTCTTAGTTTATCGTGATTTCTCCGAACAATGCAGGTGAATGCCGGGGCAGTACTCTAACAAATCAGCGTTGGACAGCACGCGATCTCTCCTTCCTCTTCCTTGTTTCTATCCTCTTCCATTATACACATACATTTACTCTTACTTCACTACACTACCGCACATATCGGGAGATCAGCCGGGAGCTTATAGATTCTCCTGACTCGGGTGCTGATCCCTTGGGGGAAATACCTCGAGGGGGATTCCCCGCAAGTCGATGTGTAAGTCGACGCCGGATGCCACCTCCCGGGATGAAAACATTCACAACACTAATGAGAGTAATGAGCATAGCAGCTGACGTTCCACAAAACATGAATCAAAGAATCATAGTTAATGTGGCTATATTTTCATCCCCGCCGGTGCTGCCTCGAGGCAGCAGGGCAGGGCCGCCGGGGGAAGGAAAGGAAGCCGCGCGCTGCGTCAGGCCGCGAGGAATGCGCGAGCGCGGCGCTTCGGGTGGCCGCTTCCGGCGTCGCTTGGCGCTGGCGCTGGCGCTGGCGCTGGCGCTGGCTACCACCCCGCTCCGGAGACCTCCCAACGCCGCAGCTGCCGCGGCGCCTCCGCGGCCGCGTGCGTTTCCACTTGCTAGCGACTACGATGGCCTCTACGACTCGTACAGCATTTAGCATATTTATAGTTTTAATAGTGTGCATGCTGCAGCTGCAAAATGTTTGCCAATTAATGTTATTACTAACCGCTTATCCTAAGTATAAAGGACTTTATATAGACTAGCGGAACCCGACAGACGTTCTGTTCTTCATCTCCCTCTTTCTACTCCCTTCTCCCTTCCTCTCCCTGTCTCTCCCTGTCTCTCTCTTTCTCCGTCCCCCTCTCCATCTCTCTCTCCCTCTCTCCGTCTCTCCGTATCTCTCTCTGTCTCTCTCGCCCTCTCATTCACGTTTAGTTACAGATTCTGCTCGTCTAAGCAGGTGGGGTAAAATCGAGAAGCGCCGGACCAGCAAAAATATAATAGAATGCTCAAGATCTCATTCTGTAGAATAGGGTTTGAGAAAAGTTTCTTTGTGGGGTTTAGCCTCAATTTTTTTAGTTTTTAATACCCTAGAACGCTTCGTTTAGGAGTTATTTAACGACATATATTTTTTAAACATTCTGCCGAGTGTTGCAGGTTGCATTTAACATGTATATTTAGTTTTGTTCTACAGCGCCATCTAGTGGAGTTACAACAAAATTAATAGCATGTAAACCTTCTGGGTGAAAAAACACCCAGATGTGCCAACTTTCATGAGCGTCAGTCACGGTGTCTGCGTTAATCTCTCTTACATATACCAACATCCATTCTTTCTTTCTCGCCTTACGAATTCTTCGTAAGAAGAGAAAGTTATGTAATCGTGCGCCAGAAAATGGCGAATTTTCGCCAGAAAAACTCTTATTGCCGAGCTGTGGTAACAAAAAAGGGGATAAATCCTATTGATAAATTTAGAAAAAAAATCCTCTAAAACGTGGTGTTACCAGAATCCGTTTTGTATACATATATCAACTACGGCGATAGAAGGCACCATGAGAGAAACCTAATGCAATGTTTGAAATCAATATCATTACGTCCCATATTCATGAATTTATTTTTGGATATATAAATAATTATTTTTCGGACTCGTTTTTCAAAAACAGTAATATACGGTTTTCAATATTCATCCAGAGGTGCTGTGTGAGAAAACGTAAAAGCAAAATCGACAGAAAACGGTGCATGAGACCTGGGAATTAAATTTTTAGAAGAATAGCCAATAAAACAGAGCTATGTGTAACTACTTTTATATAACTCCAATAACTGTATTAAAGTCACCATCACTGTTAATAAGAATATTACTACTAAATCATTTAAGTGATTCAATTCAGATACTATATTTTCCGACAATTTTCAATAATTTTCTTATGTATTATACAATAGCCTTTGATCCTATACGGATTTACGAAGGGAATGCGAACTTTCTGGTGATGATAAGAAATCTCTAGCAAGAGGTCTCAAAGAAAGGCGTCAACATCTAACACGTTAGATATGTGCTCCGTGAAGCTAGTATCTAAACAATCGCCAAAATATATTGGTTCGTTTAAAGTAACGGCCACTATTTCCCCTTTTTTACGGCTTGGCCTCCGACTATACTCTTTTTACTGCCTTCACATTTGCATTCGCCTGATAGTGAGGAGCGCTCCGAATTTCGCCCACGATCGCTACTTTTGGCTCACTTTTGTTTTTCATAAATCTTATATTTTACTGCGCAAGATTGGTGTCAATTTCAGGAGCATATGCTTTATAAATTAACTTAGATAATGCACGTCAAAATAGTCGTTTCTTCCACATGCCAATTTAGGCCAGAGATAACTTGAGTAAACTGATTTAGTTGTATTTATACTTTTATCTGTATTTATAAATTCATCGCGATAAAAATGTACATATTGCGATTTGTGTATAATTTCTACATATTCTTGGCCAATTGTAGTTTAAAAATTTTTGACTTTCTAAAACCAAAGCCTTATGCATAAGTCACGCCATAGGCATAACTTGTGGTCGAAGTATGGGTCATGATAAACATTCCTTCAATTCAATAAATAGGAAATGAAAGAATGTTTTTAAAGCCAACCTCAGCCGGGATGCGCTATAGTTTCAGCACTCTTGATGTAGGCTCGCCGGCGATCATGGCGGCCACCGTGCTTTTTCAAGTCAAAGCATACGAGCGGTGCTGTAACCTGGGTGCAACCGTCCGTAATAATTGCCCGTAACTAGCGCCAAACGTAATGCTAGAATACTGTGTTTCCCAGAGTGCGCTCCTTTAACTGCAAAAGTATTGCTTCAATTTGCTTCAAAGAAGGAGGCACTTCAGCCACTCTATGTAGTATTTTCTAGCTCGTTGACTCTCATTTATATCAAATATGTTTCTCTGTCCAAACTTGTTTGGTAAAGTAGTGCATGCAAGTGCCGTAAGGTAACTGCTCAAGTTTTACGGTGCTACCAACGTTATTCGTTGTACCTGATTTAACTCTTATCAGTAGCCATAACTGATTTAACTCATGGCAGTCGGACACAGCCGGCCATGTTAGGTTGCTGATCATGGACCTGTTATTTTTCAAGTGTTATTAATAACTGTTATTAAGAATCGACTGTTATTGCGATAGCAGTTATTGAAGAAAAGATATTAAGCCAGTCTCTACTCTGAACTCGAAATGATCCCTTGAGTCGCACTATCGACGCATGTGATATGGTTCACTCCCAGGAAGGTGCATTCTTAACTGCGCTTCGCTTCCATGATGTCCTGGATTCCATTCCATTCTGCACGGGAGTCCCAAGTGACATTCCCACGAAATATTGGAAGATTATTTTGTTGAATGGAGAGAGGACCTGTTTCAAATTATTCTTGAATATACAATTCTTTTATTTTGTCTCATTTCCACTTAATTGTAATTATTCGCTTGTAATATAAAACATTTAAAACGTGTTTAACATTTTTTAACTCCAATTGTGGAATTCTCTTATTAAACGACTGAATCTCGTTGCATAATGAGTGCAATTGAATGAGATTGAATAATTATCAGGTAAGGTTGAACTTGCCCGATGCCGTATCTTCTCATGGACAACTTAACGTAGTTTTCTCAAGAGTAAAATGTTTTTATAATAGGGAGTGACCTCGCTCTTATTCTGGTTAACGGTAAGTTAGCAACGTATTAATAACGTAAGTACGCTCTAGTAAAGCGTTAATCCGCTGTGAAAGAAAATTGTTTAATAAAAATGTATGTTATTGACAATAAACTGTATTAAAATATATTAAATATTTTAATGATTGTGTATGAAAATTTTTTCCTACGTGTTAATATTTTTGATTTTTCATGGTTGTATTGTCACGTGTCGAAAATTTGCCTGAAATCTATAAAAAAATAAAAACAAGTAATTAGTTTGTAAAACACAATTCGTTTCGGGCTTAGCACGTTTTTATTAAGATTTTTTTAGAATTTGCGATTTATATTTAATTTACATCAAAATTTCACAAAAATAAATGCAAAATGTAAACTAATATCTAAAATGACATAAAGCTCTTTTAATTATTTCTGTACAAAAAATAAATTTAACAGGCAGATATTACGGTTTTTTTCTGCACTTCAAGACTAACATGTCGATTTAGAAACAAGGAAGTTACACATTTTTAAAAGAGAGCTGTAGTAGCAAGTTAATGGTAGAAGTGTCATTATAATGAACTGTCAGTGATCGCACAAACAATACACCTGACAAGACCTTAATTTCAAACAACAATCTTTTGAAATCAACACAGGTCCAAACCTCTTCTTCGTAGGTCATTGTTTAAAGGCCTCTCGTCCGCGCCGAGGGGCAGCCGATCGCTATCTTCATGTCAAGCAGCCGGTCACGACGCGTCCGTCCCCGCGCGGAGCCCACAATGCAGGCGCCGCTATCCTTTCTAAATTTCACGGTTCAACCCAAGGCTGAGCACATGCTCAGCTCATTTAGACGTCCTCATTCGGGATATAACGCAACCTTGCAGTTTGATTTAACGATTTCAATAACAATTTGACTGCCCTTTGACCCGAAAATAGAGTCACTACTTTCGTTATAGCCAATATTAACAATGGACGAATAATCAAAATCCTATTTGGCATAGGTCGCACGGTATTGCCTTACACAACGACCTGTTGTGAAAATATCCACGCCTAGATAAATGCATAGATCCGTGTCCTACTTTCTTGTGCAAGAGTCTACCAC